TTCTACTATAATTTACCAAACTTAGTAACTAAGTTGTATTTGGGTCTAAATAAAATATGAATTTTGAGAAGACACAACTTACCTCAGTGAAATCTTAATTTAAATTAAAAATGGCAGAAGGAACATTAGAAAGTCTGAAAAAACCACTAGGGGATATTCTGAGCTTCTGATTGGTTATTTATGTCTTATATAGAAGTAAGTGTATGTAAGGGAGCATTTCCAAAAACGGAAAGAGATGAGCGGGGTGACACTGTGTTTGATTTATCATGTGAGCAATATCTTAGCAAGTAGAAAAGATAATAATTTCTTATTTTATATTATAGCTTGTCAATACCTGTAATTTGAGTTTCTAATTCGTATGAAACTATAGACTTAGTATTTTGACATCAAAAACATCTAATTTGAACCAGTGCTGTATTCACCATACCACGTGACACAAAAACTTGATGTTTATCTGTATTTTTTTCACATTTATTCTTAGATTAACAAACTGAGTAATGTATAGTTCGAAAATTTAAATTATAATCTACAGTTTGGTACCAAACTTATGACATAAATTCATGAAATAGTAGTTAAATAAAATTTTGAATGCGAGTCAACAGACGAGATAACATGGCCTTTCACCTGTGACCCATCAAGAAAGGGTTAACCCTTTTGTCCCGGGTAGGTTAAAGTGCACGTCACGACGTTTTGGAGCATTATTTTCAAAATTTTATTAAATAACATTTTTACTACTTACATCAGTGAAACTGGCATCAAAATGTAGTTTATAATTTAAATTTTGATATTATATATGTTTTAATTTCTTAATTTAAAGAAATGTAAGGAAAAAAAGTTAAATATCAATTTTGTGTGTCACATAACACGTCCAGTTGTCTTATTGTTCAGTTGCCATTTTATTGTGCCTAACATATAACATGTATAAGTAGCTAACGCATTAGGAAATCAAATTTGAAATATAGACAATCTAAATATAAAATAAGAACCTCCCTCCTCTATGATTTTCTGAGATTGCAATATTTTTAGCGAGTCTACTAGAGTGGCTCCTTCAACTGCACCAATCTTTTGAAAGCTCTTATCTAGTCCCACCTACTACTAATTAGCTACTGCTTATAACCAATAGAAAGAACATTTTCACCCCTACGTAACTCTGACAGTTCTTTATAAATAGCTTGAAGGAGAAAATAATTTTGCCAAAAGCATTGAAGTGTGATGATTTAGTCATTGCTCTGAACAGGAGTGGGATTTTTTTAACCCACATACAGTTTATTTAGAGACCCGACTAAATTACAGGGATTTTGAGTGTACTAGTACAGTAATTTGATAACTTTTTGGTCTTCAAAAATTCATATTTGAAGCCTAAAACAATTAGTGTCTCTACACCCTCCACCCAGAAGCATAAACGAGGCTTATGTCAAGGCTTAGCAAGTTTGATGCACGAGCACAACATCTCGTAACACGGTTACGTACTCAAAATCTTTGTTTGTCAGTGTATTTCTCATTTATAAGGATGTGCCCAAATAACACCTTCATATACTTATGCTGCAAAATTCCACACATCAAATGGGTGACCATAGTACTGAAACACCTCCTATGTAATGGATAAGCCTGGCTCAGAACCTACAATGTTTATTGGATCAGCCCAACTCTGAATCATATAATAAATGTTTTTACACATTCTAATTGCAATTTTATTCCCCTGGGAAATTCCTGTTGAAAGTGTTCTTGGAGCAAGGGGAATGTCACCTCAATGAATACACGTGCATTTTTGCGCTCAAGAGATTCGTATTACGGTTGTACATAAACACTGTGTCTTATAACACGGGTGGTGAATTATTGCTTTTTTTGTCAGCAGGTTTTTAATTTGTCTGTGACAGTAAAATAAACACAGAAAATATATGGGATATGTTTAGCAGTTGTAACTGTCAGGGGAAGAACTTTGAAACTTCATGATCAATAATGAAGAAAAAGGAAACAGCTGCTCATTATATTTCTGATTTTACAATCTTTCTTTTCATTCTACTTCAATGAGTTGTCTACAGGCTGAAGAACCAAATAATAAATGTAATAACAGGTAAAATATAATGTTTTATTGAAAAAAAGGTATACATGTATTTAGGAGGTTTCAGAAGTTGTGCAAATGAAATTCGAGATTTTTTAAAATGAAAATCACTTTGCACTCAGACTAGTTAAAAAAGAATCAATATTTTCATGGACAAATATAAGTAAAAACACTTCATTAAAAAATCTGATTTTTTGTGTGCAAAAGGCTTCTAATGTTTACTATATGTCTACAAACTTTTGTAAAGATACACTTAAAATATTAAAAGTTATAGCATGAAAACTATAACAAGCACAAAATGGTTATGAGGTTGGTCCCAGGGACGGAGCCCGTGTCAAATGGGTTAAAGGTAATCTTGGCTGTGTGCATTTAACTCTCCCAGTCTTGAATTTATATCTGTAACACTATAATATACTGTTAACTTTCTATGTAACATTTATTAAATGACTCTCAACATCATACGTTTTTAAAGCTCAATATTTAACTTATTTATTTATACCACACCACAATGTTTTTAATAACTTATAGGAAAAATAATTGATAAATAAATGAAAACAATACCAATAAACATCACAATCATAATTTCATAAATAAACAGCTTCTCACCAAATCTTTAGAATCCCTAATTCAGAGAAATAAAAATTAGTTCTTTACCTGCCTAAGATCAATAATATCTTGTAACATAAACCTGATCCGAGGGCTGGTCTTGCGTGTCTCCACTATATCTTTCATAGCTACAAAGTAAGCTTCCATCTATGGTTGAAAAAAGAAAACCTCAATAAATACTGCAATACTTTTTCATCTTGCACATATGAATGTATTACAATTAACTAGATGAATCAATAAATTTAATATTTTAGGAAAATAGTTGTTTTAAGAGTCAAGAGTAATGTCATTTTTTACAACTGAAATCAAGAGTTGCTCTTCTGTTATGTGTATTTATGCATTGACTCAAAGAAATACCTCTGTTGTAAATAATTTAGAAAGGTATAAGCAATATATAGAAAAGAATAATATAATATCATTTCACTATTATGTCTTGGTGCCTGCAAAAAATAAATTAGTTTCATTTATTTGGTGGGTTTCACCCAAAGCTACAAAAATGCTATCTGCACAAGCCATTCCTAATTTTTTAACAGACTTTCCACCCACCCCCAATTCTTGGGCTACTCTCTCAGGCTAAATAAGGGGGTTTGACTTTCACTCTTATAATGCATCCACAGTCTTTTTCTGGGGGGTGGGGGTGTAATGGGATGCAAACCATAAATACCTTAGCTCCACGATCCAGCAAAATAGACCACTGGGCCAAACTTAGCCCCAGAAAACAAAAAACAAATGCAATACTGGGTTTTGAACTATTTTCTATAAACAAAAATATAGTGACCAAATAAAAAAATTTTTTTGCCCATTGACAGTTTTTGAATTTTACAAAATTATTTATCATTAATTCTATAAAATGTCTGTGTCATGATAAACCAAACCACTAGACCATGATAGTTTCCAAAAAATCTGCATACAACTAGATATATACATATTAACCCCCTCTCTACAAGTTGAAAGCAATTATTTTTCTAGAACATGATATTTGCAGTATTTAGTCTGTATAATAGAATTCCCTGTCTTGGCCAAACTAGCTAGAAAGAACTAATTCAAACCACAGAAGGGCTCTGAAATTATTATTATTTTTTTGGGGTAAATGTAAGTATGCAAAAAATGTAAGTTGGGAGTAAGAACTGATATTGGCAGTACAATGCTTACCCATGGTTAAGTTGATTTAAAAAATAATATCATAACATTTTATCAGTCTTACTGATGTTTCTGTCATCTTGCTTTTGTCTCTCTCTAGTTCTTTGCCAATTGTTGTTAACAGACGACATAAACATTCTATAGAATCTTCATCTCCTTGATATAGAAGTTTTTTTATGCAACTGTGCATAATTTGCGTCGTCAACATCTGAAGCTTGAAGAGTTCTCCAACAAATCTGAAACACAAAAATGAGAGAGCATAGCATGATAAATTTTAGTTTTTTGAGTTTCTGCAACGTTTCATCTTTCAGTTTCAAAAATAGTAATCTAACACCAAGTAATAACTACAGTTCATCTTTATTCTACAGTATTTCTCTCTTTTATGAGAATTAAATTTTGAAATTGCATCCAATTTAAAATCTTGAATTTCGGAGTATTTCTTAGTTCATTATTTGACAAATTTTTCAGAGTTTACAAAGTCTTGAAGACAATATGATTATAATTTTACAAATATATATATTTATGTTAAATTAATCTATATCCTATTCATGACTATGAAATACCTTATATTTCCTAGTGACCGCCTTTTAGCCTTCTTCTCTTCTTCTTCGAGCTCTTCCTGTAAGAGAGCCTTTTTTTTCTTCCTATAACAGAGAGAGAGAGAGAGAAACAGATTAATACAGTTTCTTGTCTTCAGATTATGGGAGAAATAATATAATACATTGATTAATATTTCTGGTTGACCTCGGTCACTGTAGATTAAAACATTTTGAGTGATTTTTTTTCCATATATATAAATAAACATTAAAAAACAGAAGAGATGCTATTCTTGAACTGCCTTCAAAGCTTTTGTACAAAATATTTCAGTCATTTGAGAAAATTTTTAATACACATACACATGATTTTCTTGGAACAATATCTCAGTTTACTTATATTTTCTTGTGAGAGCAACAATGTTTATGTTATTTCAAAGTTGTTTTCTTTTATGTGAGATTATTGTAGATAACAGAGATGTGTAAAAATCAATTCTTTACCAATTCTGCTTCTTCGATCTCTTTCAGTCTTTCCTCCTTTTGAATTTCATCATAAATATCTTTTTCAAATTCATGCTGACATTTAGTCAATAAAATCTTGCTAAACTTGACACATTCATTTGAGCCTTCAGCTGCAGGCACTTGCATCTGTAAAAATATTCAAACATTTATTTAGACACTTTACACAAATAATTTTTTTTCTGTATGGCCATAAAAATATTTAAAATATGAACAATTTTATTTCCAAATAACTTAAAAATATATTCACATTTTCTTAAAAGTGTGTTTGATACCAAACTTAAACACTACCCCAAAACAAGAAAATACTGATCACCTGTTAACCCCCTTACACGTACACAAATCTTAGCTTAAGAATTCATCTAGCACTATACATAAATATTTTGCATTCAAAAATAGTATATGCTTTCAGAAAACATTCAAAATTTATAGATGGCTTAAAATCAAAATGTTTCATATTTTACAAATTCAGTGTACATTTACTCTTGTAATTTTTTATTAACATTACTAAATAAATACCTTTTTCTCTACTGAGCTACTCAAAGTGTAGGTCACAAGAAGTTTTATGTATAACAGGTCACGAGTAGTAAATCAATATATTGTCTCCAAATAAACACGTTTAATTTCAAAAAGTCTAATAATTCTTGCAAGATAAATTTTTCTTTATTGGGTTATTTCAATTTACTGTCACATGGAGATTTTTACACAAGACAAAAAGATTAATCATTTTAGTTTTTCTGGTAACAACACTGACATGAATAAGCAGATCAAAAGACTTTCTTCAAATAAAATTAGGTTCAACCTGATGAGGTCTTTAATGTAAGGTTTGTAAGTTTATTCATAAAATGTAGTGCTGCTATACACAAACCACTAGAAAACAAAAAATTAAGTGTCATGAAAAGGCAATGATAGATCTCACTTTACTTAAACAGAATTAAATGTACAAAATAACAGTCACAGCACATTAGTTCACAAAGTTATTAAGATGAAATCACCTAGAGCTTCAATACATACCACAGCTAGAGTTTTACACATGTTTGCATAAGGTACACTGAAGCTAGGTTCTTCTATGGCTTTTTTGAAGACTAGATTAATAACACCCTTCAATCGTTCTTCATTGTCAATAGGAAGTTCTTTCACTTGACTAACCAGTGTTTTGAATTTCTGGGGGGTTAATTTGTTTAGGATCCCTTGCACTTTCTTGTACAACTCCTAAAAGAAAGGAAAGAAACAAGAGATGAAACTTTCTCTTCGAAAACTAATGCTTGTATTTTGAGTGCTTTTGGCAGGTATCGTAATTTCAATTAACCAACTGTTGGAATAAACCAAAAACAGCAATAGTCAGAAACACTAATTACTACTCATATGTGATCAATTAAATTGCCAGACTAGTCTTGTAACGAGCTTATTGATAAAAAATAAAGATGTATCGATTTTTATTATGATAACTATTAACTTTTATTTATATTTATAAAAAAAATAAACAATTTATTCTTTAACAACCCTATAAAAACAATTTGACCTACCATAGAACTGAGAAGTTATACATACTATAACAATTAGTTTTCTAAGTTTACCTTCATGAAATTTGGCAAGTGTTTTATAAACATAACAAGTTTTTTGTACACAAAAAACCAGATTGGTTACTAAGGTATTTCTACTAAAGACTAGTCTATGAACTTCCAATGGTTTTACAGTCTAAGTGAAAGGTGATATTTATGCTAATAATAATGATACTTCTCTTCATCTTACAGTTTTCATATTTCATTTGCATATTCTCTAGAACCTCCTAAATGTTCTACATATTTCATTTTGTGTACCTTAACACTAACTGTAGAGAAATTATCTATGTGCAATGGAATGAAAAGATTGAAAATATGAAATAAAATTAATGCCATTTTTAGCTCTTCAGTGACTGCAATATCTACCAAAAATTTTCAAGTTACTTATCTTAATGCTTTCAACTGTTATTCTTTTTTTTATCAGCTTTATTTTAATTTTATGGTTGTATTGCAGTACTTTTCATCAGTGAAACAGTAATTCTTTTATAAAAAGCAATAAATCAGAGTAGAAACCCACTAGCTGTTTCCCTTAAAGCTATGTGACATAGTGTCATATTTCACACTGGCACTTGAACTGGTGTAATTTTAAACATTTTACTTTAGTGAAGATTTGTTAAGCTCACCTGAGGAAATCATAATTTTTACATTGTAGTTACTTGTATTAGAAACTATACTACAGTAAATAAAAAAATGTATCTAAAATTAAGGGTTTTTAGTACTCACTGTATATTCAAGCTGTTTGCACTCAAATGTAAAATATTTGCTGTTCTTACCTAAGCCTTGTTGAATCTCACAAATTTGAGTGTCCAAAACATATTCATACAGCATTTATATCAGACACTATATCAACAAAATATCATACACAATAATAGAATGTCCCAAAACTTCTATAATTTATCCACTTTCCTAAGTAAGCTATGAATAAGGTAAAAAAATATTCCACTAGCCATTCAAATAATCAAACCATGATCACAGAACAAGCCATTCCTATCAAGTAAATACTCTCTCTACCAAATTCAAAAGAACAGTTGTAAGCTTGTTATAAAAGATAACCTGCACTTTTTCTATTAGTTTTAAGCATGCCCATCAGCCATGTAAATTTGATTACCAAACAATCTTGAATGTCAGAGAGAAATGGGTTCTCTGGTATGTTTGACAAATTTATTGAAAATTCAATAAATAAAAGTATGAGGTTCAAATTTTAGATTCTTACTTGTAACTACATATTCTTTGTGTTTCTAATTGGTTGGAAACTGGAAGGTGTTCGGACAAGGTCACCCAATAGCTAGACATGGTCGTAGTGGACAATCTTTTGTCAGACAACCATGTGAAGAATTGGGAAAGATGAGAAACAGAAAGCAGGAAGGACAGAAACCATATCAAAAAGACCAAAGGTGGAAGGTAGATAATCGCCTTTGGTAAGGTGACATGGAAGAAGGCCTTATGGATTAGGAAAGGAAAGATGCAACATGTGGAGTCAGTCCCTGGACTGAGGCAAGGGACCTGACAAAAGGCATCTTAAAGATGGAGGGTGGTGACGTCTGGATGAACAATGTTCGACCACGACTGATGGAGTAGGGACCATGAGAGGGGTAAGGGCAGGGGAGGTTGCACAAGTAAAGACTGAAGTTGTGGGAATTAAGGTTGCGCTTGGCAAAAAGGTGCCACCAGGAGGTCTAGAGTGGTTTGGATTAGGGATAGATCTTTGGGGAGGAGTCAAATAGAAGAGTAAAACCAGATGTGAAGACCCCTCCAATCTTGAGTGAATGCATCCACCTGGAAGCTAGTGGGTGTGGAATGGGAGACTAAAAATAAGTTTGTTGTTCCAGTGGGTGGCAAAGGTATCGACATGAAGTGTCCCCAGCTGAGAACAAACACCAACTAAAAGACCTGTGGACTGAAGGACCAGTCCATGGGGAGAATCATGTTGGGTTAAGATAATCAATCAGCATCCAGATTAAAGGCACCAGGAACAAAGCAAGTTAAGACCATGGGACATATAGCTTGATGAACTGTCATAAGATCGAGAATGTTGATATGGATAGAAGACTCCAAGACTGATCAAAGGCCAGAAATATCTTTGGATTCAAGGTAAGCACCCCAATTCTCTAAAGATGCATCAGTGAACAGATGTAAATCCAGATGAGGTAGAGAAAATGGAATCCCTATTGTGGTCTGGTCTCTGTCCAACCACCAAGCAAGGTCAACCCTGATTGGGGAAGGAAGGGTAAAAAGGTCATCCACAGGATCTGAGTAGAAGTTCCACTGATCTAGGAGTGTACACTGAAGGGAATGCATATGAGCCCAATGTATGAGGATGACAGCTTCCAAGGAAGCCCACATGTGAAGTGAGGACTTGGTGCACTACTTGCAGATGAAGAAGAGAACAGTGAGCCTGACTGAGATAGGAATTGAATTAAACCTCCAAATGGATTAGGTATTGAGTGGTGGTAAGAACAGACTTCTCCACTATTGTCAGGAATCCCACCAGTGCTGCTTCGTATAGAAGCAGATAAGTGTGGTCCTTGGAATGTGTATAGGAAGAAGCAAGCAGGTGCCAGTCATATCCATGTAATAATGAGTGTAAAGTCTCAATGAGAACAAAGAGCTGAGGTTAGTCCAAACAGTAGTGCTTGGAAGTGGAACACCTGACCCTCATGGACAAACTGAAGAAAAAGATGTGATTTGGCAGCAATGGGGTGTGTGAAGATGTGTGTAATCCATAGTCCCGGGGGAAACACCTATCGAAGTGAAATGAGGGAAATCCAAAAATGACTTTAATCAGGATAGATCAATGATAGGGCTCCAATCTCCCATCTTCTTGGGGACTACAAAGGTTGCAAGGGGCACACCTGTTCGATAACTTCTTTGGGAAGCAGGTTGTAGACCACTTTGGTAAGATGACTGAGATATGTTGGATCCCGTGGAGTTGGGAAGGAAATGAGAAGGGGAGGTGGAAACACTGGAACTGAAGGTAGAACCCAGACAGAACCCACAGATCCATCGTGAAATGCCCCCACACTGCAGAAAAGTGGTGCAATTTGACCCCCACTGGTCCTGAGCTCGTCGTGGAGTCACCTATACCAGTGGGTAGAATAGGGAGCACCAGGAGGAAGGTAAGGGTCCGGATGAATGAAAAAGAAGGTCGAGAAACAAGGACACGTGCTTCCTGGAAGAAAGTGGGAGGTTGAGATAATCATATGGTCAGAGTTAGTTTGTTTTGTTTTGAATTTTGTGCAAAGCTACATGAGGGCTATCTGCACTAGCCTTCCCTAATTTAGCAGTGAAAGACTAGAGGGAAGGCAACTTCATCACCACCCACTGCCAACTTGTGGGCTATTGTTTTACCAATGAATATTGAGATTGATTATCACATTATAATGCCTTCATAGCTGAAAGGGCAAGCATATTTGGTGTGATGGGGATTCAAACCCATGACCCTCAGATTGCGAGTCAAACACCCTAACCATCTGACCATGCCGGGCCATGTGTGGCTAGAGAAGACAAAGATGAATGCAACCTAGCCACATCAACCCTGGATTCCAAAGAATCTAGATGACCCCCAAGTATGGTATAGTGCAAGAAGGGGATGAATGGGGGAGACACACCCCTGCAAGTAATGCATCTCTCTGCAACAAGTCCGAACAGCACAGTAGCCAGGTATTAAGAGCAGAGGCCAATAACTGAGCCACAGTGTACCAAAGAAGGGAACTGAGATCATCAGAAAAAAAGATCCAGGTAGAGACGAAAAGCCTCCAACAATAAATGGAGGGAAGACAGTTGTATTAAAATAAGAGGAAGAAGGACATGCACAGGATTAGGTAACTGATAAACTACAAAAATAGTGACATTATAGTAAAGCTTAAACACTTACATGATTAAAATTAACATTAGACTTAGGTTTTGAACCACAAAAAGGAAGGAGAGGATCCAGTTGCTGAGAATCTAAATACAGATTTGAAAAGTGATGGTGACAGGTGAGAGGGACGGGGAATACCAGCATCCAACTATAATTGGTCCAAAAATCATTGCGTATGAACCCTTACATTAGTTGAAGAGGGAAAACAAAAAACTCAGAAGATGGAATTTCACCCAATAAGGATGGGAAGGCATCATAAAAGTTGTGGGGGGGGGGGACATGCAATATACCACATACCTAATCACTCAGTTCTAAAAAAAAAATGAGTGGAAGGTGAGATCTCCTGATGAGGTGTAGAGCATGACAGACCAAAACAAAAAGTTGCTGGAGGAAGTGAATCTAAATTGTCTTTATCTTGATTATATTCATCATCAGAAAAATTGTCAGGTTGAAAAGGATCAGAAATTGCCAGTCAAACATATGAATCTAGCTCCCTGTGAATTAAGACCTGTACCTCCTCTGTCAAACCCGACATCTGGGTAGTCGTACCAGTAGCATTGTTGACCATAACGGGAACTTCCGTAGTTGACAAATTGAATCACAAATTCATTCTTAGTTCCCTTGTAATTCATTAACAATAAACAAGTAAAAAAAGAAACAAATGAAAGCAAATATAATAAAAGAAAACTGTTGAGAAAAAAATTAAGTGTCAACAAAACACAATCATAAACTGTAGTCACATGTGAAAAACATGTCTAAACGATGCTGTAGAAATCGAGAAAGTGAGGATTGAGCAGAAATATCAGAGGAAGCTACTTGCACTAATAAAAGTGGTGCAATACTACTGCTATATACATGTTCAAATATTACTTCAAACTGTTTTGGTACTATGATAAAAGTGCTATTTGATCAATTCAGAAAACCTTCACACTCATATATACAGGTTACACAAGTCTTCATTAGTTTCATAACTTCAGAAGTAGGCAACAGAAAATGTTTTTAACATCAAAATATGAACATACCCAAGAAATTTTAGTAGCAATTAAAAGAATAATGACCAATATGACAAACTATAAACTGATCCATTAAATCCTCTGCAGAATTATTAATAACTACGAAGTAGTGTTTAAATTTAAAATAGCAAGGTCTATTTAAAGCTGAAAATCATTATGATGACTTTTGCATCTTCAGATAAGAAAGGTAAATGATACACTACAAAAACAGTGACATTATAGAAAAGCTTAAACACTTATATGAATGACAACAAAGTTACCCGAGTTTTCTTCTCCTCAGGAGATTCAGGTTCTGGAGCTTTGTAGGAAGGTTTCCATGCATTTTCTGATTCATGAAGTTTAACATCCTTACTAAATGAAGATGTAATTTTCTTTCCTTTGTCTCGGTTGTGTTGGCTCTGTCTCCTTCCTGCACCTCCACCTTGACCCTTAGGTATATAAACAAATACTAACCTTAGAAGTAATATACCACATTAAGTAAGGTCTTATCCCTCAAAGTAAAAGTTGCATATAAACATCATGAAAAGCAGCAAGATGGTAAACTACCGTATAAACACAACATGTAATTGATTTTCATTTATACCATGCCTCTTAACCACTGTCTTATTTTTAAAACAAAACCACCTTGCCTATGCTAAGATACAATTGTTAAGTTATAACCAATGAATGAGTTTTGTTTTATAAAACATTTTTATTACTTTTCAGCATGCAACAAAAGTGTGAAAACAAACATACTAAAAGTGCTTTAAAAAACGAAAAGCAAAAGTTTTAATGTACATACCAAAAATACGAAAATTTGTCATGATTAAAAGTTGTACAATGCACAATAAACATATTTTGCAATATTTACACAGTATCAAATTATTTACATTCTTTACATACAAAAAAAATGGATCCACACAGAAATGTTTTATTTTGTAAAAACTAATCAATGGACTAAATTAAATTACTTCAAAAGTTTCAAATTTAGACTTTAAAGCATAGATCACATAAACCAAATATTGTTTATCTTCCAATTCACTTAACTATTTAGATAAAAGCAGACCAATACTTACATTTCTTTGCTGGATACCCGTGTAAAGGGGCAGGAAAAGGTTATCTGAATGGTAATTACGAAACTGATTCATATTTACAGTCCTCCTCATGTCAACTTGTTTAGAAAGATTGGCCTGTTGCAAAAACATGGTAAATTAGAAATTCCTTTGTTTATCATAAAGTGAAATTAAAAGCCATAAACTTATAACAAAATATTAAAACACATTTTTAAGAGATGATGCTACATTTACAAAAGAAACTAACGAATAAAATATACAGTAAGAAGGTTAACATTTTCCTAAAATCCAGGGGACAAAATAGTTTGGTAGATTTGATTAGCAGAAACTGCTACAATTAGTAAATACTGCTTAGCATCTTTTTAACATTCATCATTTTAATACATTATGCCAACTAAATCCAGTATTAAAGTCTTATCTCTTTGTAAAGACATCCACTGATTAAAAAAAAAGAAGAGGTAAATGGTATGTTTTTATTCTAATAACACCTTTATTCAGCTTCAAACCCTAATATTTAATTGTACCACACACAGCATTTCATGAACAAAATAGTTCCTGGTATATAAAGTAAAACTTCAAAACTGCAAGAAATACCAAACACCTCAGCTGTCACAAATTAATGCAACAATCAATTAACCAGAGAAAGAAGTGACCTGAAGGTATTACAAATAAACAAGGTTACCATAAATCTTTTTTGAAATTCATCTAGTTTATTTCTCTGTTTTTTATTTTGGTGAGACCTCATCACCCTCTTCACAATGTGGTCTACTTGACTTTTTTAAGAAGAAAATGTCAAGTGACCTTTCAGCAGTAATTACCCCTCTCACCACAGTCATCCTTTACTGTGCATGTGTGAGAAATGTGATATTTTTACTATAGGCATACCCTCTTCTCTAATTTATTTACCACCCCTCCAAGAAGTACGAAATTTAATGTAAATTACTTATTATAATATTACCATCACTCAGATAAAGCATAATTTTCATAGCCTTCAATTTTGTTTGGTTAGAGAGTCATCAAATAGAAAATCAGATCCTTCTTGCCACACACACACACCTGTCACATCCTTTTTTTCAGGATTTGTTAATAATTCTCTCTTACGTTTATTACTATTTTTAACCAATAGAAAGCCAAGGTTTTCATCTATGAAATGATGTGTTATATTACATTGCTTTTTGTAGAGAAAAATGTTAATTTCTATTTCAGTACAAACTTCATTTCCACAAGAAACACATCAACTAGCTTGGATGAATTAGTAACAGCTTGTGTCACACAGTTAGAAAGCCAGAAGAATTGTAATTGATATGGGACATTGTTTGCTTTTTGCATGTTATTATTATTATTATTATATGTTCTTTGGTGCATATTTAATTAAATAAAAATTATTTAGTGCACTACTACCATTAGTATAAAAAAGTAGTTAAGTGTCATCAACTATATTTCTTGTTTTTCATGCATATTCTTAATTCATTATTATAAAGGTAACTGAAATGTAAAAATAGGAAACTCTTAGGTTAGTGAAGGTTAGATTAAGTAAAATAAATAATAATATAATAAAAAATTTTCATGAGGCAAACATGCAAACAGCCTGGAGAAGCTCAACAGCCTGGAGAAGCTCATAGATTTTATTTACAACTTATATTATAATGATGCGAATAGTACTAGTAGTTACACACAGTTGAAAGGGCAATAAAGCAATAAAATTTAAGTATACCATTACAAGTTTAAAGCTACTTAGGATTAACAAATATAGTTTCATGTTACAATTTGAAGTCATTCTAGAAAGAATAGTACTAGTAGTTACACACAGTTGAAAGGGCAATAAAGCAATAAAATTTAAGTATACCATTACAAGTTTAAAGCAACTTAGGATTAACAAATATAGTTTCATGTTACAATTTGAAGTCATTCTAGAAAGAAAAAAAGGGCAATTTAGATTTATTACTTTTTGGTGGTGATGAGGTCGATCAAACAAACCAACCTTGTATAGAGTTAGTATAGAGAAAATAATGGATGAAATATGAAGATTTACTTAAAAAAATAACGTTTGATATGTATTTAGGAGGTTTTAGAGATTACAAAAAGGGCATTTGAGATTTTCTAGATGAAAAAAGTATTTTTTAATCTTAACATGAAAATCATTTTGCACTCAGATTGGTAAAAAAAAGATTCATTATATTCACAGACAAATCTTTAGAAGAAATACTCCCTTAAAAAACTGATTTTTTTGTACAATAGACTTGTAATGTTTAGTAAAAGCCTGGCAAATTTTGTGAAGATACACATACTGTATTAAAAGTAAAAATGGTCACTATGGTCAGTCCCTGTGACCAAGCCTGTATTAAGGGAGTTCGTGACTGACTCAATGCTAAGTGTGCAGTGCATGTACTGTACGTATATAGTCTAGTCTAGTTGGCTAGGCTGAGGGTGCCAACCGGCCACATTCCAAACCTGATGAACAGACCTCTACAAAGTGTATGTGTATGTAATACGAGTGTGACAAAGTGTGAAAATACTGTACGTGCCACTTAGCAGGAATTTCTAAGAAATAAACATCAGCTTTGGTATATGAAACTGAAATGTTACGGCACTTTCACCGTGTTGTTGGAGGTCTTGAAGACAACATACAAGAGAAAGTAATGATTTAAATGTTATGCTAAGGAAAGAGGAAAGTGATTAGAAATGGGCTGTTTTGATTCGCAAGTTGTGATGAAAACCTGGATATTTTGTCCCCTGAAATCATGCAAATAATGTGATATAAACAGTTTCATTATAAAAAAATTACTTTCTCTGGTGCTTATATTATCTCTCTCTATGTGGGTTCAGTGAGATTGACAAATAATATAACCACCATGTAATCAAATTATAACTATGAATGTACAAAATACACCTTCATAAAATTTGGCAAGCTTTTCATAAACATTACAAGTCCGATGTATACAAGAGATCTGAATTTTAATAAAGTATTTCTACTAAAAATTTGTCTGTGAATTTGTGAAGATTTACTAAATCAGTCAGAATGAAAGGCAATTTTAATAAAAATACTAATATTTTTTTTCCATCTTACAGTTTCATATTTCATGTGCTTAATCTCCAGAACCTCCTAAATAAATATCCTTTTTGGTAAAACTATATTTTCTCAACCATAACACTAACTGTAACAAAATCAATGTACAATGAAATGAAAAGTTGAAAAAAAAAAAAAATTAAGAATATCTTTTTTTTTCTAGAAAGACTGCAGACAATTACAAATATTTATCATAACAGAATCAGTTTCTAACCTTTTCACATCTGACTGTTTTTAGCTGTATTATCTTATAATGCCCCTTATCTATGTAGGTGACAGCAATTAACCATAGTGGGAGAACTTAGTGTAAACAACTGATCAAGTTATAATCATATGATGTAGTTAGCTCAAAGCTGGAGTTGTGAATTTTTTGACATCTTTTTTTTTTCATTTACTTTTTGTTATCTAACCTAATAAATCTATAATTTTCATATTCTAGTTAATTTTGTTAAAAAATAATACATAATAATGAATAAAAGATAAATTTTTGACTTACAAGAGAGTTGAAGCCTATCTCAGATATTTGTACACAAGAGTGTACTTCCTTAGCACTACTTTTTTCATACTCTGCTGGTTATCCACAATGCCCCAAAACTACTATAATTTAACTGGTTTTCTAACTAAGCTATAACTAGGTTTAAAAAATTTCTTTTAGTTCCCTGTGGCAGAAAAACACAATCCCAAACAATGAAACTGAGACTAAGTATCTATTTATAGTTGCTAAAAAGAAATAACTGTAGGAGGATCTTATAAAGACATTTTCTGAAAACAGAATGAGATGGGAAAGGCATGTCATGCAAGTTTTAAATTTTTTTTTTACATCTCAGTAAAGCAAGAAGATTGGAGGTTCTAAGTTAATATTCTGGATTTGTCAACATTTGTGTGTTTCTAATTAGGTGGACAAGCAGTAAATCATGTAATGGTATAAAGAAATTCTCAAATAAACAAATTGGAGTGAAGATGCATCACATGAAACAAAGAAGTGAAGATTTAACATTCAGTTAAATATTTATTCTTAAAATTAGGTAATTAAAACTTAAATAACATAAGAGTTTGAATTATAAACCATATCCTGATTGACATACATTTATAACAAAGTTATTTAATTAAATTTTGGATGTAACTCTTAAAAAACGTCATGACATGCTCATTTTGACCCTACCATATGCATAGGGTTAACACCAATACTAAACCATGTACCTTATCTTTAATGACTTCCAAATTTGGAAGACCTTGTGGCTTCTTTAGTGACATTGGTTCAGACTGAAGTTGAAGGAGAAAGGCACGGTCATACTGCTTTTTACCTTCTTGATTCAATGGACTCCACTGGTCTGTCAGGTTAGAACAAAGCAAACAATTTCTATTAGCTTACTCCATTTTAGTACTTAATCTATAATGTGAACTAGAATTGACCAAGCTTAGGCTCTGAAGCCAGCTTCATAGCCTGAAGCTAGAGCTAAATGCAAGCTCACCAGTGTGCCCTGGAGCTTGGAGCCAGAGCTACCCCACTCTTTCCTAACCTCCCTGTTAATTTTAAAATATATTTTGTACAATTTAAATTCACAGAATAAATAACTATAAAGATACACATCAAGCATTAAACTCTCCAAAGGTATTTTCAGAATTATGTACTGTACTTTTATTATTGACATAATGTGCACTGCAAAAATAATTATATAAAAAAATATTTCACCCATTAAAAAGCTGTTTAGTTATATTAACTGATTAATAAAATTTAAATACCATACAACCCTTCCTAAAATCACAGTTCAATTTCTAATTTTTTTTAGTCAAAGATTCAATTAAACAACTGAGAGCTCAACTGGAATGAAAACCAGATCTAAAAGGGTATTCTTAATTGTATATATAACAAAAATGGGATGGACAGAAATATAAAAATGTGTCATACAAAATATTATAAAAAACAATTTAACTAGTACATTAATTTCTGTTTTTTTAAATACACTTATGTACATAACCTTAAGATTATTTCAAAGAAAAACGGTTTATTATTTTTTGTCGTTTTATGTCCTCACTGTTTTCTGTTTGGATTATTTATCAAGTAAAAACTGTTAATATATTCATGTTAATGTTTAATTAAAAAGATAGCTGAAAAGTTCATAAACATAAATATATAAAACTTTATATGGTCAAATTTCATACTCCACATTCCCTTTTACTGTTTTAATTCTAAGTAACCTCACAACAAAACCATAAACAGTACTATCCTAGTTAGCCATATGGTTCTGGTGTTCCAGAATCAGAGCCAAGTAAAGGCAGCCAGATCTGGAGCACCAGTATGAAGCAGCCCTGAAGCTAAACCACTGGAGTCACTCCAGACCCAGAGCCAACAAATCCAGGGCATTGCAATCTATCAAAAAGTCAAATTTAAGATAATTAATTCTTTTCATCATATCTTGGTTTCAGAATTATTTTTACATAGCAAATTATTTTGTTTAAAAACATTGAGGTTGTAAAATTTGCACAAAATGCTATAAAATAAAACAAATTAAAATGAATTTAAAACAATACTCATAAAACTGTACAAGATCCATACTAAGCCATACTGCATAATACTAAAAAATATATATAAAATTTTCTTGTATGTTGCCCTATCTTAACATTTTTTATCATAATCAGTAACCACACTGAGCCCAACACTTAAAAAGCTTTTAAATTTGAAAATATCTAAGTAATAAAAATAAAGTATGATAAGACATATTCACTCTTCTATGATCTGTTGGAAACATTATTGTAAAAAAAACATGCGCACATTTATTACTGGTTCATGTATTAAACATTACACTAAAGTTTCTAGTACTAAATATTGCTCAAGAATTTTGGTTCATAGAACTGATCTTCCAAATACTTTTTTCTTTCTTTTTTCATTATAAAATAAACTGTACAAAAATTCAAAAATGACTGTAATACATTATACTCATCTTCCAACAACTTTCAATTATGTTCACACTTCTTCACCAATAGGAGCGTGATATATGCATACGACTCCTTCTATACACCTCCACCAAACTATCACATCAAAGTTTGGCAGAAGTTGAGTGGAGAGAAGTACCTATTGGAAATACACTTTCAGTATAGGAAAATTGTAACTTCCCTCCTCTCACAAGATTAGCTAGAATCCCACATTGATTAGGTGGAGGGACCAGTACAAGGAAATGACAGAAGTATCCCTAGAAAGCATCCAAAAGATACCCCTGGAAATGAGAAAGTCAGATTCAAAGATCTGATGACAGGAACTTCTGACCAGGTATACTCTTTACCCATCTGTGAAGCGTATAAAAGATAAGGGCGGAAAAAGAAAGGAGCATATCCAAGTGGGAGAGAACTGAGGCAGAATAGTGATCCTAGCCCTGAAATATATATGGAACTTAATCCCATAAATTATGAAAGTGGATAAATCAATGGATGTGCTCCTAGGTATAGAATGGCTACGGAGCGACGGACTGTACTCGGTAAATCAAGTACATCCAAATCACATTTTGCTGGGAACCGATATCCACATGGGGGTAGGATGAGGATCATACATTCTTCACCTCAAGTTCAAAAGACCAGAGGGAATATAGAACCACTCCAACTCCAGAACATGACACGTGTTAGGTTTGATATATTGATCTGGGGATCCGACACTCCAGTATCAAGAGGATGTCTATATAATATAAATCAACTCCCCCAACATCAAAACTGACATGATAAAGATTTCACATGTGAAATTTCAAAATTTTCTGGTGCATAAGAGTATTTCTTAAATATTTCTTAAAATGAACATTACTTTGCATAATAGATAGGTAACATGTGAAAAGAAAAAAAAGACATGAGAAAATCATTGCTTTATAAACCTTAAGACTTGATAAACTGATAAACATTTTCATTAGCATTCGCTTACTAATTTAAAAGTTATAGCATGAAAACTATAACAAGCACAAAATGGTAATGAGTTCGGCCCCAGGGACCGAGCCTGGGTTGAAAGAGTTAAGGGAAAGGTGAAACACGGAACATGAAGAAAGTGGTTCAAACAGAGGTAATAGTGGACCATCTTAATATCCCCGGCCAGAAGAGTAGGCCATCAGGGGGGACAACAAATCCAGAAAGATTGCAGGAACATGGTAAGTATAGATGAAGCAAGAACACGATGGTATTGGGATAACAAAAGGTATGCGATAAGGCAGCCTGAAAACCCGAGAGCAAGGAGACTGAACACTCCCAGTTGAAAAGACGTGTGAGAAACTCCACTACTCAAGCCACAGTAGGTTGGTCCTATACAGTCGTTCCAACGTTCAAAAACAGAGAAAACTCGATCGGGTGCCCCCTTGGGGATTGACATGTGCTACCGTTGTAGCATTATCAGAAAGAATCATCACCTGACAATGTCTGGCGATAGAAAGGAAGTGATTCAAAGCCACGGACCACGAGAAACTCAAGGACATTGATATGCGTGGACCTTTCATCTACATACCAAATACCCAAAGCCTCCTGGTGATGGACCCATGCATCTCAGCCCTGAAGGAGTGCATCCATGAAAAGATGTAAATCTGGACGAGGAGGAGGAGGAAGCAGGACGCTTGCCAACATATGGGCCTTGTCCAACCAACAAAGCAGATTATCCAACAGGATATGAGGAAGGGTAATTGGAGCTGCCAAGGGATCCCAAGTAAGGTTCCATTAATCATGAAGATTCCACTGAAGGGATCCTATGTATGTGCACAACTGAAGGGGACCAGTGACATCAATGAAGACCACATCCCAAAAGCTATAGAACTAACAATTCCATGGAATGAAGTCGTAGAGGAGAAGGTTGGGCCTGACTGAGATGAGTGTCGAAAAGGATACCTAAATGAATGAGATATTAGGTAGGATGGAGAAAGGAGTTCTCCATTTTGATTAACCAGCCTACCCAATCAGCCACGTGAAAGAGCCAAGGAGAATGGCTGGCCGACTCTATTCGGAATGAACCAAAGAAGCCAGTTGTTCATATGATAGTGGAATTGCAGCCCCAGAGCATGAAGATGGTGAGCAAAAGCTCTGACCAGCCGACAGAAAACACAAGGAATGTGTAAATAAGTATTGGCGATGTCCATTTTGTTCATCCATAATCCGAGAGAAAATGCCCACCGTAGGGTGAGAAATGACTTCATGATAAAATGGGGCAGTTGAACAAATCGATTGAGGCAGGACAAATGAAAGACAGGCCTCCAGTTCTCTGGAATAAAAACCTAGTGAAGTATGCAGAACAGATTCGATGGCCTACTGAGATGGTGGTCCTGAACTGCCTCCAATAGATGCTGGCCAGTCATTTGATCCCAAGATGGAGGGAAGGAAACAGCTATAGGAGACATGGGAGGTGGATAAAGAAATGAGATCATGAATTGTTTCAATAAAACTTGAAGAACCCAATGATCCTTGATGAAAGGACACCATTGATGAATAAAATCAGCAAGTTGAGCTCCAGCAGGACCAGAACCCACCTGGTAGTCACCAGTACTGTTGGCAACATAACATGGCACCCTGAGAAGAAGGGACAGGTAAGGGTTGGAAAGAGAAGGAAACTAACAAGTGCCATATTGGGCTGCAACTGAGACAAATTGGCAACAAGATTGGAAAGGGTAGACTGTTGTACTGATGCAACTTGTGACTCCAAAGACTCAATGATTGTGAAAGTATGTAATGCCACAAAAATGGGGCCATGTGTAAATCTTGAAGATAAAATGCTGGCAAACAGATGCAAGTTAAAGTCCCAAAAATAGAAAAATCATGTATGCAAAGCTAGAGCCGAAGATGACAATGAGCCAACCTGGAGGAAAGAAGGGAGAGGATTTCAGGGTTTTAGTGGAGAGCCTTAGGGTGGAGATGGATGGTATACCGTAAAAGAGTTGTGAGGGTAAGATAAAGCGGTAAAATTGGGCATGGGTCAGACTTACCGGAGATTCGGGGACCACACCCCAAACAGGTATCAATTCCAATACCAGTTAGTAAAAGGTTCTGGCATATACCTGCTAAACTATAAACTTATCAATCTTGATTTCTTCAAATATTTTGAAAAAGAAGAAAGGATTCATTAAGCAGGCACAGAATACATCATACTAGTTTTTAACAGGACGAGGGAGTCACATGTTACAAGTTTGCAATTGATACAATTTCATGAATTGTAACATAAACAGCCAAAAAAATTAGATACTGTATGTTGGAAATTAACTTGAAATAAACTGATTGATACATTGCTTTAACAATTATTATTATTATTTAATCATGAACTGAATTAAAATTACAATATAACTACACATCCTTATTAAATCCAAAATGACAAATTAAAAATAATACATGATAAGTAAATGTAAATTCTATATTTTATAAAAAGTTACCTTATGTAAAGTTATAACTTTTTTTGTACCTACTTGCTGAATAATCATACTTTAATGTTATGTAAGATTCCTGTAGATGCAGCTCTTTAACCATTGAAATATTTTCAACTATTTCCTCTTCTTCTTCTAACAAGCTTTCACTTGTTTGATTTTTCTCAATCACTTGATCTTTTGAAGGCAATGTCTTGTTTGCTTGATTCGTATCTGGAGTTTCTTCCTCTTGTGAAACTCTCATTTTGACTAGATTCTTTTCTGTTACTTGATCTTGCAAAACCCTCAAATTTGTTTGATTCTTTTCCACAACTTGTTCCTCTAACAAATTTCTCCTATGTACTTTAGCTCCTCCAACATCTTGCACCTCTTGTGAAACTCTTCTATTGGCCTGGTTGTTTTCTAATACTAATCGTTGTTCTTCAGATAGTTCATCTTGTAGTGGTCTGATTGGAATAACAGATGGTTCAAAACTGGATTCAACTAAAACTATATCTGGTTTTGGAGACAATGACAGGGGTGTTGAAGTCTAAGAAAGATAAAAATATTTCAATTTCTTTCTTTGCCATGACTGATAAAAAACTCATAAAGAATGTTTCAAAATACAGACGTAGTACATTATTAAAAATTTCATCACTGTTAAACATTTTGTTTTTATATAATAAAAAGAATGTACACAGATCTTGTGTTTGGAAAAATATGATGCACAGATAAATAGAAAATTAATTAACAAACAAAATAAAAATATCTATCCATTGCATTTAAAATACTTCATCTTAATTTAAAAAAGCAAACAATTTTCTACTGTATACAGCAGGTAAAAGCTTTATTAATAATCTTAAACAGCGATACAACAATTAAAAATGCTTCTACAGCATGCATTCTAAATATTATAAAAGATGTGTAATTTGAAAGTAACTAAACAGTAATGTACATATCTTTTACTAGCTTTCACAGTTATCATCCAGGGAATGAAAACAGCTGAATAAAGATTTTCATTTTGTTCATTACTCTTTCTTTCTCTTTATATTCCATTAAAAGTTACAAGTAAGTTATCAGAGCATAAGAAATATAACTCCAAAATTTCTGTTCAGATGATAAAATTTGTGAAACATTTTTTTGCATTCAATTCATTCTTTCTGAACCAATTTCTACATACGACGTTAAAATAAAACACTGACTCATCTATGATATAATGTATCTACACCCATGAATCTATGTTACAGAACAATTACTGTCAGGTATAAAAGATTATTTAGTGTAGGTAGTATTATTAATTATTTTGTGTTTGTAATCCATTGATGTTGAGGCTATCAAACACCGTGTTTGCAATCCATTTATGTCTAAGATATAGAGATTTTTAGAAGGCCTAGGTGATAGATGTATAAATGGCTGTGACCAAACAAGCAAAAACAAAAGAGAGAGTAAAAAGTAAAGTCATGGGAAAGAGAAATTCAGTGTTACAAAAGTTAGAAAAATGCAAAGTTAACCATCGTAGGAGCGAAAGACCTAAAGGTTGATATGTTAAAATGAGATTAATAGTTTGAAATATATAAGGAGAATAATTTGTCTTGTTCTAAGCTAATTGAACATGCCTCTATGGACTTTGACGAGAAACAGACAATTATTTGGAAGCATGAAAAAGCAGATGATTATTGGAAATACAGGATACAACTAAGGTAACTCATGCAACAGTGTAAGTGGATTATATACAGATACTACTGCAATAAAAATAGAGAAAAAATATTTCGGCTTCTCAACTGAATTCTAAATCAATTGAATAGGTCTAAGTGGACTTTTGACAAGATAAGAACTGTATAGTGTTTAAGATACAACTATTATTGCCATAGTGTAAAGAATCTTTAGCTTGTTTCGAATATATATAATATTTTAAAAAATAAGTGGAGTGCATGCTGTTCATTTATTGTTGAATTTATCATCAACAAGTCATAGACATCTACTGTAAAAGAATCCTTAGTCCAACACATCCATATACTTATTTTAATATTTGATGAGCCATTTGATGAGCCAGCCAGGAGTATACAGTGGTAAACGGCAATAAAAGAAAATGTGAATGACAGAAAAAATAAGTAGGCCTATATATGCACAATTGTAGTAGTAGTGAAAGTAGTGTGAAGTTTACAATCACGTTATATAACCATGTCAACAAATTTTGATAAATGGGTAGAAAGAGAAGAGTATCTTGGGTTAAAAGACAGTGAACTACGAGAGTTTGTCAAATAACAAGAGCTAGAAAGAAAAAAGAAGAAAAGGAAATAGAAAGAAAGAGAATAAGAGCACAAATTTAGAAAGAAAAAGAGAGAGGAGAGACTAGAAATAGAGAGAATATGAGCACAAATTGAGAAAAAAGAAGAGGAGAGAGAAGAAACTAGAAATAGAGAGAATAAGAGCACAAATTGAAATTGCAAAGCTCATTCAACCAATAGAAAAAGGATTCAAAAATGACAATGGAGTCAGGGCCAGCCAACCCAAGCTGCCCAAATATGATGAACAGAAAGATGACATAGATGCTTTCCTGGAGAGATACGAAATATTTGCCCAAGGTCAGAAATTGGACAAAAGTGACTGGCAGTCTGTCTCAGTTTACTCATTTCCTCATTTTGAATATTGTAATGTAGCATGACACCTTCCAGACTTTCTTGTGATTTTGTATGTGAATTTAACAGGTTTGATTGATAAAAACAGAATAACAGTTATGCTATTTTTTTTTTCTGTTAGAATTAATTTCACCTATTTTTCACAAAGAAACTCCACAAATAAACACATCTTATTTACCATATTTAACAATCACTTTCTGGTGATAATTCTCAACATGGCCAAATTTACTGAAAAAAAATTAATACATTAATTTGAGATTTCTAAAACTAGTAAAGTTTAAAGGTTTACTTATTTTTATTTTCACTAATGATTGGGTTAAGTTACTGTAAGTAAAAACAGCATATATTCCTTCCTCTACTAAGACTTCCAGGAATTATTATTTAGAATAAACAAGCCATTTCTACAAATGAATCACTCAACTTAAGGATAGCTTACACATTTGATAAATAGTCAAATAAATTGAAAAATCTGTAATTAGAGCTGAAAACTTCTAAAGTCAATATTATCAACAGTTTAAACTATCCATGTTATACTCATCTGGTGTTCATGATGGTAATGAATTCATTTTTATTACGTCTTTTTGCAATAATTATTTTTTACAATGAATTATTTATGCATGTAAATTAATGCTTACCTGTTCCTTATCTAAGAAAGCATCCATGTCTCCCCCTTCTTTGCTTTCACCTTTCTTATTAAGTTCTTTCATCCTCTTCTGTCCTCGTGGCTTTTTGAATTCTTTAACTAGAACATAAAACATTTTTTTCAGAAATTTGTTTTATTTCTATACACATTTCTTACAGTTGGTAGTATAGTTAGCTGTGGTCTGACACTAATTTCTCAGATCATGAGTAATTCAAAATAATAAATATACAATACTAATCCACAGTGAAAAAAAGCTACCTCCAAACCATTCTTTCAATGTATAAAAATTCCTATGATTATAAAAATATATCTGCTTAGGGTAAATAGGTACCCACGGTGACAAGATCAACCCTTCCACACACTAAATGGATAATAGGGGTTTCACTAAGAAATCATAATGTTTATTTACATTAAAAGGATCCAAACTGCTAATAGAAATTTTTTCAGAGATTCAGGAACATTTAACAGAAAGTCAGTATCAAGAAATCTTGCCCATAAATACTTGTTTGTATTAATAAATAGTCTGTTTTTTTACTGTCTTGGGAGGTGGGTGTAAAAATTCAGCCATCATTTCAGTTATGCATAACTTGTACTCAATAAGTACTGAAGGATGAGTGGGTAACACTTTTTCACATCAGTTGCCTTTCCCAACCTTTATTTCCAACTAAACAATGAAGGTCATCATACTGAACCTGCACTTTTCCTTCTAATATTGTGATTATTACTTATATAAAATATGTCACATTATATACTAAAAACTACCTAGAATTCTATGGTCAACTACTATGTTAACGAAAACCTTTGGTCCTTACTTGAAAAAGAGCTAAACCATGTTGTTGGGTAACAATACAAAAAATCCAAACACATACGTGTATGTACAACTTTTACAAGCAATGGGACAACAATGATAAACTTGGTCAAATGAATAATGGTAAACACCCCAAAAACTTGGTCACACTTTCACTTTCAATATTAGATCCAACAGACTTCAAAGCTGTTGCAAATTTTTGTTGTTTTTAGCATGCTTATTTTTAAGGTGACTATACATTGTGGTAGTAGAATCTGCTATCTCTTTGTCACAACATGAAATTACCATTCTCCACAATACGCAATGAATTTTTATATCATCAAATACTTCAAATTACTCCCACACAGGGATCAAATTTTGCATTTTAAATCTCTTACAATAATAGTAGTCATAGAGATTATCAGTAAATGATTCTTCACACCAATGATTGGAATAAATCAACTAAGTCAGTCTTAAGAGATCAGTGGGTGCACTTAAATTTAAAGGTCTGTGAAAGTCTTGTTTACTTACTATTGCTAAAACACCTGCTTTCACATTACAACTTGCATATGTTGCAGGACTTGCTAAAGGACAACATTTAAAGAAATACTGGACACGTTCAGTCAGGCTTGGCTGTTCATGAAATTCCTTGATGTCCATAAGAAAATTATCCATGTGATATAGCAAATGAATGTTTAGAACTTTAATTACACACATACTTTTAACTGGCAGTGAACACTTCCCTTTACAGAAAGAATTTGTTCTTTCCACTTTACAACCCTAGTTTGAATAATGAAAAAACATTATATAGTGAATCTGATACCCTAAGAAATCATCAAAAAAACTTCTGCTCATCCAAGTTGTCTTAAATTATACGTAATCAAGCAAAATTAACCAGCCTTGAGTTATTTTTTCCACTCAGTGTTAATTTTGTCTGAGTATATTTACTAAGAATTAAGGTGGTCATTTGTTGAAAATTAAAAATGAGAGAAAAGGTATCAATCACTCTAGTTAATTAGAATTAACATTCATATGCCTAAGACTAATTGTGCATGTATTAACCCATGGGGAGATTTTCTCTTTGAAGAATATGACTAGATGGTTAATTTGTATTGTTAAGTTCAGCCACAAACTAATCTTAAATCATGAAAAAAAGTACACCACAAACATGCCTTTAAATTGTTTCACACAAAAATAAACCCATGACAAAGGAAAAATTGTGCATAATTAAGACATTTATGTCTTTAATTTTATCAAAACAAATTAACTCAGCAAATTCTTAGCAGTCCACATATCAGTTTCATTTTGAAGATCAAACAAACAGTATGAAATATCAATGTTTGAAGAGTGCAAGTATTAGGTCCTCAAGAAATTAATGTTGTGTTTCGGAACACTTTCATTAACCACCTCACAAAAACGTACATCACGTATAATAGTTAAACAGACTATATGAAGTTTTCCCCCACCCACCATATTCTCCAGATATGGCACCATCAGATTACCATCTTTTTCATTTGCTGCAACACCATCTTAATGGGAAAACATATGCAAATGTGGAAGCTGTTAAAGAGGACAGACATGTTTTTTGCTTCAAAGCCAAGTGATTTTTTTAATTAGGGCATTATCAACCTGATTGTAAGATGGAAAAGCATCATCAATAAGAATGGAGACTATTTCATTTAATAAATGTTTTGTTTTAATATACAAGTTGTTCGGGTTTTTCATCTAAAAACAAGTGACAATTTTTTGATGACCTAATATATCTACCAGTTTGTCCTATGGTATATGTTGACCAAATAAGCCAAATTTTGCCAATTAACACTAAATAATTAAAAGTTGTCCACACATGTTCACTCTTTATGCACAACAAAACATCTCTTTGCACATAAAAACTGTTCAAGTAACAACATTTTTCAAAACAGATTTTTTTTTTTATAAGATATATTCTTCATTCAGGGTTCATACAAATTTTTCGAAACAAAAAATCCATTCTTATAAGGTTAAAAAGAATGTATTATCAAAGATAGTTTTTGAATCTTTACTGGGTTGTTTAAGATAGAAATATATTTTATTTTACTGAGGAGCTAGTATCAGTGTTATAGTTGAAGGTTTCAGTGCTCTTGATGTTTTATATATTCACTTGTGTTTGAATGGACACTTCTTAAATAAAATAATGTTTTGAAGATAACTTTTTTTGGGGGGGAGACAAAGTATGATTATACTGAAATTTAGTGTTTTTTTAAATGCACTCTTCTAATAATGTGGATGTGTTTATAATACATTTCAGAGACACAGACTAAAATTACTTTCATACTGCTCTTTTAGTCGTATTCACCATCATATAGATTTCAATACAACTTAAATTTTTTGTCTGCATTTTGCTTTGATTCAACACTACACCATTCATACTCTTTTACTATTCACCATTAATGTTGGGAGATTAACCCAATTAATCAACTACATTGACTGGTGTCACACAGTACAAGAAATAACAAACAATTTGTAAATGTAAAATGATGCCAAAAAGAATACAAACAAGACAAGATCAATCATAGAGATTGTATACCCTCGCCCCACCACTCCTTTTCAAGATTGCATGTGTTTATATTGGATAATGTCAACTTTCACTTTTGAAAACTCAGAAAACCCTTCTCAGATCCAGAATGATCAATGATCCAGATCATTTTTGTAGTGTGATGAGGAGTCTCAACCCTAATGTGCCCATCAAATCTGGTACAAGTTCGATCACACTTCAAAAATTATTAGCCCAAAACCTCAAAAATGCCCAATCTTACCATTATAAAAAAATGCTTCAAAGTGATCCAGACCAAATTTGGGAAGGATTATCCCATACTGACTTCCCATCTTGTGTAAAATTTACGTGTACATCGGTCTATTGGTTTTCAAAAAACATGCGTGGAAACACAGACAGACAGACACAAACATGCACGGACCCAGTTGCAATTCCCCCCTCCAAGGCAAAGGTAGATATAGGGATGATACAGTTACACCCAGATCATTTCCACATGACTTCCAAAATTAAAATTTAAAGTTACACTGTAAAATGTACGAGTGCAAAATGGTTACGAGGTTGGTCAACTCGACCAAATTCATAGGGAGTCTGTAAAAACCAAGACATGTTTGACTCAACTTGGTTTTCCTTGAACATAAGTCCTAGGCTCTTATTTATACCACACTGATGCCTACCCTGACATGACCATGATATTATGATAAAGAAACTGCAAACCAACAGGAATACATAAATTCCAACTGCAGTAATATTAAAGTAAAGTATGTATTTTACAGTGTAGCTTTAAATTTTAATATTGAAATTCATGTAGAGATGATCTATATATAGCCATATCATTCCTATATTCTTATTTGCATTCTTTTTGGCACTGCATCTCAACATCATTTTACATTTACAAAATGTTTTTTATTACTTGTTTTGTGATATTTTTGCCCCTGACTGAAAGTTGGTGTATTCTATGATTCTATGAATGTGTGTGATAAAATTTAATATCAGGTGTATTGATTTTTTTTTTATGTCCTTCACTTGATATATAATATAGGGGTTGGCTTCTTAAATATGCCGATTGTATAGTGTACAAAGCATCGAGTATTCTACATGTTATAGTCATCTAATGTTCATCTATAATTGGCTGATAATTCCTGTTCCACTCTGTACTTAAGCTTTTTAAAAACTTAGAACTAATTCTAACATTGTATGCAAATCTATGGATTGATTACATATATATGTTACAGCTTTTTCTTCCAGTTTCACCAAAGGTAAAATTGGTTCGATATACATATATATATATATATTATATAAAATGTGAAATAATGATTTATGCACAAGTTCTAACATTATTCAAATACCTAAGTTATCTTAAGTTACTTTATTGGTGATTGAAAAGGACATAAAAATCCCATTAAATCTATGGATTGTTTGCAGAGGATGAAAAAACAAGAAAGAATCCTCAATAGCTATAGATGTAATTAGATCTCAAATCTGTCAATAACACTACTGTTATGGTTCATCACTTCTTGTGAATGACAGTACCAAGAAAAAAACAAACACAAAATTAGTGTTAAAATAAATAATATCATGTAATTAATCCTTATCTTAAAAATATGATTTGTAAATGACTTAACCATATCGGCACGAGTATCCTATACTGCGCATGACACAAGGTTTTAGTGTCTTACATTCAAAATTTTACTAAACTACTTTTGTTTATGTTATACCAA